AGAGTATATGATACCCACCATTTTAATTTAGAGTTGCCACAAAGCCTACATGAGGGATTTCTGCTGGAAATAAAAAACGCTGCTGGCTACAATTCTTAGAACTTATGTTTCCAAAGAGAATGCCCATAAATTCAACTTCCCCTTTCTAATTTTCCAATATTTCACTTAAATTGGCTATTTGTGAAAACATCTTGAGCACAGAACTTGCTTGGTAGAGTTTTTGTTGTAAGGGAGGAGCAGGAACCCATACTATAGGGCACAAATAGAGTAAAACAGTTTAAAAATTAAAATTCATACTTGTAAAACTGTACTATTTGCCTATGTATATCATTCAACATATTAAAGGTACTGTATCACTAAACATGTAGCTAAACTGCACTTTCCAATGTCATTGCAGAACTGATAAATTAATATGGGTCTCAGACTGATCTACATAATTACCATTCTTCTCATATACATTTTCTTACGAACCTGGGATGCAGCCTTCTCAAACCCATCAGGATTCAAGGATGGCATGATGTGGATACGCGTACTGTGGATCAAGTTGATAATAGTCTCATTTCCTTTCTGGTATTCATTACACAGGTACTGAGCCAAGAAGATGAGCAGCTCCCTTCCAACAGCTTCATTCCCATGCATATTCCCAACATATTTAAATTCAGGCTCCCCTGCAACACAAAAAGGAACATCCCTTATACATGTGCATTGAATATTCTTCAAAGTCCATGGATGAACAAGGTGTAGGTCAGGTTAGGTAAGCGTTAACTACAAATATAGCGTGCTATTTTACTGTAGCTAGCCAAAGACCACACATTTAATCCTGAAGTCTTAAATTGTAGACTTCTCTTCGAATAGTAGATTTAAATGATCATAGGCTGAAAACTAATTAAACAGAGATCTTTACTCAGTAATTGTTCTAAGGGCTGAGAAAAGACACCAGATTTGAATGAAGTGTGTCAATGTAATACAGAATCTTAACATAAACATTATGTTACTCTTCATTTAAACTGGTAAAACAGAAATCTGAATATGACCCATAGAGATCTTGATTATGATGGTTTTAAAAAAGTGTGTCTAAAAAGCATTTAAAATCCTGAAATTCACTATATGCTAGGGGTAGTCATACCCTATGGACAGTTATTTTAATTTTGCAATATTTTTTTCAATACCACTCTCAATAAATAGCTACTGCTCCTAGTGAGCTGTAATACTCCAGTATTTGGTTCAGAGTGTAAAGAATAAGTGCATTATGACTGGTAAAATATAGGGTAAATATTTCATTAAATACAAGAACAATAGTACTTTCCTAACAGTGTTTGTTAGTCAATATTTCAGCATCTCTTGATACATAAGGAATGTACAGGAGACACCTTAGAGCCCAAGATATATGAATAATTTATATTCATTTATTATATTTTTTAACAGGAGCATCTTGGATCCTAGGCCTGCAAACACTGCCGATGCGTAGGGGGTGCATGCGGGTGCACATGCACCCCCTGAGATCGGACATGCATCCCCTGGAAGCACCAGCTGCAAAGCCGGAAACGTACTTCCGGTTTTGCCTCTGGCTCAGCTATCAGCTGCTGGGGTACCCCCCGGTCGGTGATCAGCCGCTGGGGTACACCCCCCTTCCCCGTCAGTGATCTGGTGTCTCCCAGACTTGGGAGACAGCAGACACCCATGCCTGCAAACTTTTAGGCATATGTTTAAAAACTAACTAACTCCCACCCTCCACTGCAATTCTTATTAGTAAAATACATTTCTAAGCATTTCAGGATAGGGGCATTTTCATCTTTATTCAGCTCAGTAATGGGGACTCATGTTTTATTCTGCTAAAACTGTTCAAATTGATCAAAAGTTCACCTAATGATATGCTCTGAATACCTGATTTAGGGTCTGCTCATGGGACTAAATACTTCTCAAGAGAAATGGTTTCACAAGCAAGGCCTAGGAATTACTAAAAGAGAGCACAGTGCTGTCCTTTTATGACTCTGGACTGTGCTTAATCTTAATCCATCAACAGCATGTTAGCAAGCATGAAGCTATTTATACCATGACCTCTTGCATACCAGATAAGACATTTCTATGTATACAAATTGTTCCTTGAGATTTCTTGTCACACAAACTTGAAGAACAGTCTAAGGGGTTTTGCTTCTAAATGAAGATGCTTCATTTTATTCAAAATATCCAATGTGAATCCCCATCACCTCTCCCCACACACACATTGACCCCTTCCCCCAGTTAGCTGTTTTGCTTTATAACCTCCTCATAAGATCTTTTAGTCAATAATAAGGCTGGCAGTTTTACTCCAGCAAAACTACAGAAGTCAAATTCTCATCTGGTGAAATCATCTCAAACTGAGGGTAAAAGGCTAGGGACAAACATTCAAAAAGCCTGAGCCTGAATTGATTCAATCTTTGCAGGTTAGTTTAACGTACATAGGCTGAATCACTTTGTAATCATACAGACATCCCCTCCAGACTGAAAAGCTCAGGCTAGAAGCTGGGGGGCACTAAAGCAGCCTTCTCTTCCTTTTCACAGGACTGACCTGAAGGGAGTGTGGCCAGGCACCAGCAGGGTGCTCTGATTAGGGAACCCTGCTCTTGATAACAGAGTATTTATCAGCTCTGTTATCAGCATTTAGCACACCATCAAAAAACAAAGTGTTGCTCATTAGTTCAAGCTCTCCTTAAACAGCTTTTTCCAAAGGAAGGAATGCAGGGACATTACCAGCTGAGCTGTTGATTACCTCCAAAAATCCCTAAGCGGACACTGTCCTATCTGCCTCACACAGCATTAGCTAGCATACCACATGCTGGCTATGGTCCCTGCTGTGGGAGAGAAGAGGAAGGGATCTCTGCTTAAGCAGCAAGTGGTGAGGGGGGAGAAGGCGGGCATGAGGAAGCCAGCAGACCCTGCTGTGCCTGCAAGTTTCTGCCAGAGCTCCAGTCAGTGAGCAGGAGGGAGGGGCCAGCCCTGCCAAGCCCAGAAAGCATGCTGGGATGCTGGGGGAGTCTGATTTAACTTAAATCAGCAAGCGGTTTGGGACAGACATTGCATAAACTGGTTTGACTCAAGTCAGGTAAGTCTGATACTGCATTCAACCAGGTTTATTTCAAACAGGTTTCAGCCATTTTCAAACTGGTTTATGTGCACTGAATGTCTGTTTTGTTACAGTTTTAAACTAGTTTCTGATCCCTTAAACCGGTTTATGTGTAATGTCTGTTCCTAGCCAAGGAGAACAGAATCACAGAATAAAACTGCAGGTGACTTGCAAAGCCAGAAATAGAAACCAATTGCTCCATTTCCTAGTTCTGTACTTTAAATACCAGCATGACTTCCTTCCCCAGTTTATCATAGAATCATAGAAAGTTAGGGTTGCAAGGGACCTCAGGAGGTCATCTAGTCCAACCCCTTGCTCAAAGCAGGACTATCCCCAACTATATCATGCTAGCCAAGGTTTTGTCTAGCCAGGTGTTAAAAACCTCCAAGGTTGGAGAGTCCACAACTTCTCTGGGTAACCTATTCCAGTGCTTTACCAAGTCATACAAGTCTTGTAAGTCATACAAGTCATTCAAGTCTTGTTTACTCCAGGGTATGTGTATCCAGAAAAACAGAAAAAACAAAATGGCCATCAAGTCTCCTAACCACTTAAGCACCAAGAAGGCTGACAGTGGCATCAAAGTAAACATGCGTAGCAATTATGGTGAATGATGATTTACTAGAACACTGGCTGCACTCCTAATTGCTCCATTTCAAAAAGGAAACTACAATGGATTTCATGGAAATCTCTCATGGAACGTCACACATAAGAGGAGAGATTGAAGAAATGAGGATTATTTACCTTAGAAAGCACCTTATGCAGAAGAGAGACTTGAAATAAATTTTCCCCATACCTTCATGAGAACAAGGGGACATTCACAGAGATATACTGAGATCAGTCAAAGAGACAATTTTTAATTGATCTAATTAATGCTCTATTAATTCCACATAATGCTAGCTTGTTTTTTAATTAAAGTATTATGGTTTACTAAGTCAAATGTTTAGATAAATGCAAGTGTACCCTGTCACCACAATTGCCTTTATCAATAAGATTTCTCATACTATTAAACTAAGCTACTGTCCTTTTTACTTGGCAGGGAAGAGTAGGGAATAAGATCTAATTTCTATGAAACGGTACAGCTGGTATCAATTACACATTTATTAGCAAAGACTTAGAGGCTAAAGTTCCAAATTCACCATTCAGTTTATTTAGGTTTGCATCAAGCTAGGTAGTCTGTATTGTCTTGGTTACCCCTTCTGCTTTTTTTAACACTGGATTTCATTTGCAGCCTTCCAATCCATTAGAATTTACGCATTTTTTTAAAGATTTGTTTACATTCGCATTAATTGTTCAGATAGATCTCTCTCTAGTGCCTTTAAGGCTTCTAGGTAGAAATTACTGGGGCCCATTGATTTGCAAAAAGGTGCTTAATTTAAAAAGGTGCTGCTTCAAAGCCTCTCTTTTTAAAAAAATAGATCTTTAACTTCCTATTCCATCCAACACATCAGAACAGATGGATCCCACTGCTTTGCTTATGAGCTTTAATATCTGTTGACTATTTCTTCATCACCATTCACAGTCTATTTAGACCTCAGTTACCCAAAGATGTTTTATTCTTAATATTTTTCAAAAAATGTTTTATTATTTTATTTACCCAATTGACCATTGAAATGCATTGATTTTGTTAGCTTCCCTGATAAACTGCCTATGATGGAGTTTTTTAGCACCTGTTCCTTGTCATTTAGTCCAATCTTTCTTTTCTTTTCTCCTCTTTTTCCAAGTTTTAATAATGCTTTAACATCTTCTTTTACTTGGTCAGAGAAACAGTGAATCTTTGTAATTTCCTCGAATAATTCCCAGTTTTCATTTACACTTCCTACTGCTTCTAGTTGTCACGTAGCCTGTGGGCTCTTCCTAGATGGAATGAAAATGTGCTTTTCATTTTGTCCAGGAACAGCCCACACCAACTGCAGAAACTTCCTCAGCCTGACGAAGGGTTCTAAAACCCAAAAGCTTGCTTAAATGTTTTTTTTTCCAATTATTTAAGTTGGTCTAATAAAAGATATCAGATTCACCCAAAGAACCTTGTCTGCCTATATATGTACATAGTTTATATATAATATACACACGTGTGTGTGTGTGTGTGTGTGTGTGTGTGTACACATATGAACTATGTACATATCTTTCACAAAATAAATAATAAAGGGGGAAAGAAAAAAAGAGGCAGGAAGAGGGATGAACAGAAGAAGGAAAGAAAAATATGTAAGGATTATTTTAAGTACCAAAAATATTCTAAAAATTCCTCCTCCCAAACTACAATAAACTTTTCAAAAGGGTTCAGTCTGCTAAACATGGCTCTGTCCATAGATGCCAGCTGTGCCATCTCCTTCTCTTGGGAAGCACGACCTCTCCAACTGAAACAGCTCTTGGAGAGCTTTGTGTCAATCCTGAACTGTATATCAGGATCTGATAACTGATTAAGGGAGATGTGTCTGAAAATGGTTTAGTTGGCAAAATGGTCAATGTTATCTGATATCTACTTACTTGAACTGTGTCATCAGATATTTGGAGAAGGTTCAATGATGTCAGTAGATGATAGACTCAAGCTTTTTTCCACATAGGGAC